ACCGGTCGCCTAGCCGGGTTAAGCAGGTTCATAGCTCAATCCGCAGAGAATAGTTTTCCGTTTTTTAAGGCTTTGAAGAAGGGGTCGCGTTTCGAATGGACGCCACAAGCACAACAGACCTTTGAAAGGTTGAAGGAGTTTCTAGCTGAACTCCCCTTACTTACAAAACCAGAACTAGATGACACGTTAGTGGTATACCTGTCGGTGGGGCATGAAGCAATCAGTTCGGTGCTAATAAAGGAGGATCATGGACAACAGAAGCCGATATACTATGCCAGCCAAATATTGCAGGGCACCGAGCGTCGATATTCAGACGTGGAGAAGGCAGCATTGACACTTATCTCTACAGCCAAGAAATTGCGTCCTTACTTTCTAGCACATAAGGTTATGGTACGTACCAACTACCCGCTCAAAGATACTTTGGGTCTCCCTTCAGCCTCGGGGAGGATGGTGAAGTGGGCGGTTGAGTTGGGAGAATATAACGTGGATTTTGAAGTGCGAAAAGCCATTAAGTCCCAGGCGTTGGCTGACTTCATACAGGAGTGCACAATAGGAACCGAGAGGGGACCATGGATGGTGTATGTTGATGGCTCGTCGGCGGTGAGAGGAGTAGGTCTGGGCATCTTGGTGGTCACACCAGAGAAGGACCACTTAGAGTTTGCGGTCAAGTTGTCCTTCAGGGTGTCGAATAATGAGGCGGAATACGAAGCTCTCATTAAGGGAATTCAGCTCGTCCTAAAAGAAGGAGCTCGTCAGGTGATCATTCACTCGGATTCTCAACTTGTGGTCGAACAGATCAAGGGTGAGTATGAAGCTAAGGAAGAGCGCATGAAGAGGTACCTGGCCGAGGTCCAAGCGATGTTAAAAGGATTTGCGGCGTGGGAGTTGATACAAATACCGCGGGGAGAAAATGGCAGGGCGACCTACTCTCAAAGGTGGCCGCGTCTCTGGTTGACTGTCGATCCCGGTCGGTGACATTAATAAATATGACTAGGAGCACTTTAGACTTGGTGTTGGAAGTTGAAGAGCAAAGGGACTGG